TAAGGGATCCTATTTCTATTCTTTCCTTGCCCAAAAATTCCTAAACTAAAAAAAAAAAGAAAAAAAACTAACTACACCCGATTCAAATGGAAACCCTTGGAAAAGAACTGTGGTTTAAAGAAAAACCAAGGGGGAGTTGATACACTACCTAACAGAAGAAAATCTTTTTTTTTGTTCGACTTAAGTCCCTTAAGAGACCCGTCGAGAGGTGTCCGTCTTCGGTCCAAGTCGAAGTTAATTAACAGCAACCAAAAATACCAAACAAATCGATACAATTGTAAAACAACAACAACCATCCCCCATCCCACACTTAAAGATTTGGCATGTCCCCATGTCAAAGAAATTAAAGTAGAGTAAGGTAAAGGGACTTCCCTGGTGCTCAGTCCTAATCAGAGACGGTGCCAGGATCGAGGTGTCACGCTCGTCCTAGCACCCGGATCCAACCCATGATATTTTTCTCTGACCTAGCAATTTGAGTAGCCAAAGTGTTAATTCTAGCACCCAGTTCATTGACCGAAGTGCGTATGCCAACTATATCCTGCTCCAAGGCTGTCATTCGGGTACTCCGGCGGGCCTGTGATGGGCCCGCCTCATCAGCAATCTGCACCGGTGGGGCGGTAGCATGCATAGATCCCTCATCATCATCATCATCATCATCCTCTACAACCTGCGCTTTCCCAACTGTGATTTTGCTAGCCCTGAATGGGGCTTTTAATGGCAACTTCCCAGCTACTATGGGATTTTCGGGAGCTCCTGAAGCATGACACGGCTTGGTGACTAGGGAAGGGAAGTAGAACCCTTTGCTTGCCTCCGTGGAGCGAATGAACATTTCATCCTGAATGAACCGGGCCACGTCAAAATCGTGGTGGTTTACGAAACACCAAATCGCCGCTGCTCTTGGCGCTTTAACATCTGTAGTGTTGCTGGATGACAACAAATGACTGTTGATGATCGTTATCATATACTTAGCTTCCCAAGTGAGAGATTGGGAGTTCAGGGTCATTCTCGGCTTTATACATATTGGATCCCCACCAGTCACACAGATTGTTTGAACAATTAGGTTCCACATGACAGGTGGGATCTGATAATCTTGGTAATAATCCGTCTCTCTAGTGAAGACTTGCAATATGTACACTCGGCGGATGGCCTCAAAAGATGCATTTACAGGGGTATTTCATACTATGACAACCCCATCAACATGGTCCGGGCAATTAGCATAGAATTCCCTTACCATCATTACATTGCCCTCTTCTGGCTCATTAAAGAAGATGTCCAACTGACGTCTCCTCAGTTCCGTGTAGATACTTGGGCATTCAACTTGCAAGGCATGCCTATCAATGTGTACTTCAGGCACCAGCTTCTTGGATGTTTTTGCATTAAACCTATCTTTAGCCGCTTTGGAGACAAACCGGGTGCTGTCAAACTGGCTCGAACTAGCCTGAGCTCGAGCTCTGGATGCACCTCCTGGCCTACTAGCAGAGGAACCTGTGGCACGTCTTTTCCTTGATTGATGCATTGTACCTGACAAAACAAGGGCTACTATTAGTGAGGGTTTGAGTTGTGTGAACCCTAGGTGGTTACTCAGACTTCACCACCACCATGGTCACATTAGCCATTACAGCTCAATGGGGCAATTTCACAAACACCTAGTGTGCAAACTATGATTTAACACACTTATCCCATGGAAGTACAAACTCTCCCCCAAATCAACCACAATCACTACACAAACTCCACCCCACCACAATCAACTTCATATAACAATAATAACTAGGGATTCTAGTTCATTTTACACTCCTTTTTACTTGAGTTTTGGATTAAAAATGTATACATAATAGTCCCAAAGGATTACATGTTGTACTTTTTTGCAGGGTTTGGTAAAAAAAGTGACAATTGGTCAAAATCAGCTCAAAAAGGAGTGAAACATGCACAAGTACCAATAACAAATCAAGGCACTGCTGTATCATAGAATCCACTGCAGTTGCAACAGACTCACCGCAGTCGCAGTCCATTTAGTGCGGTCCGCGGTGGAAAAGATTAGAGAGATGCACTTTTGGATGCTCAAGCACTGCGGTCCGCGGTGGATTCTTCGTGGCCGCAATCCCTTTTATGCGATCCTCGAAGAGGGGATTTAGAGAGCTAGGAGTTTGGAAGATTGAAAGCCATCGTTGTCCGCTGAGCATTTTGTGCGGACCGCAGTGAAGCCACCGCGGCCGTGGAGCTGTTTATGCGGTCCGTGATGGCCAGATTCAGAGAATGAAAAGTCAAGCCAAAAAGCCTCATCGCGGCCGCGGTGCATTTTTGCGGTCCGCGATACCTCCGTCAGGGGTATTTTTGTCCAGAAAATTTGGCCTTGTATAAATACTTTCTTTTAACATTTTTGGGGTATCTGTTAGAATATTTATCTTAGTAGAGTACATGAACGATGATTTTGTTCCATTTTAAGTAATTTGTAGCTAGATTAACATTGAATCTTTAATATCTTAGTTTGTAATCATATTATATGGGTTATTCTTCATCTAAATCTCTGATTTCTTCCATTATTATGAGTAGCTAGACCCATTAGCTAGGGTTGTGGCTCAACCCTAGTGTGGGTATTTGATGGGTCTTTTGTTTTAAGGTTTAGATGTTAATGGGTAGTTGATATTTAGACCGATTTGCGTTTTCCATGTTGAATTAGTTGTTGCAAACCCTAATTTGTGCCTTTTTGACTTGGGTTCTTCTTGAGAGAGAGAGCTTGAGTCTAGGAAAATCAGTCCAATAAGGAATTTGGGTGTATTCAAGAAATTGATAGCCCCAATTAAAGGGTTAAACCTAGAGATAGTAATACCCAACTTGAGCCTATATTGCTTGCACAATTTTGACACCCAATTGGTCTTGAGAAAGTCAATTAGGGCAAAGTCACTCAAACTACCGAGAGGTATAGAGAGAGTAATTCCGTGCATTTTCTATATCGCAATCCCCAACATAACAACTTTGCCTTAGGCTTTAGATCCCGTCAAGTATTTACCTAGGAGAAAGTCACTTCCCTAGTGCCTCTTTAACCATTTAGAAAACATTACAAACATTCATACTTAGTTTAATTTAGCATCTTATTAGCAATAAATTTGAAGTAACAAATGAACAATTATGATTGGAAGTGTAATTAAGAGCACTACGCACTGCTAGTTTACATAGGAATCCAAATCCCAAACAATCTAGCTCCCTGTGGATTCGATCCCGGCCATCTCGGGTAAAAGCTGCATCAATTGCTCTTGCCACTTTGTAGTAGTGTAGGGTTGGAACCGATCACTTTTTGGTGCCGTTGCCGGGGAGCTAACGGTTTTGTCTATCTATCTAAATAGTTTTGTGTATTGTTTTTCTTTCCTTCTGTGTTACTAATTTGTGTGTGTCGCCAACTCAGGTACAAAATGGCGGCAAACAACAACAACACAGAGACCTTACACCGGGGGAGGAGGTAGATGACAATACTGATGATGAGGTACCTATAGTTCCTCAAGCTCAAAGGAGAGGCCGTCAGGACAATGATAATGTTCCAGACCCTCCCCCACCTCCAAGATTGGCTCCTCGATTTCTTCTAAACCAAGGATATGCCAATGCAATTGTCCCACCTCGGATCTAGGCGGGACATTTCTAAATTACAAGTGTGATGCTGACTTTGTTGGAGCAGCGAGGGTATTTCACAAGTGCTCCCTATCAGAATGCTTACAAACATCTTAAGGGTTTCGTGGATACATGTTGGGGGAGCAAGCAAATAAATGTGTCAGAGGATGCACTTCGGTTGAGATTATTCCCTTTTTCACTTAGAGGGAAGGCTTTGAATTGGCTTGAAAGGCTTTCCAACCATTCCATCATTACTTGGGATGAGTTGGTGGATAAATTCATTGCAATGTTTTTCTCGCCGGGCCACATGGCGACCTTGAGGGATGAAATCTTAGCTTTTAAGTAAGAGCCCAATGAACCACTGCATGAGATATGAGAGAGATACCAGACAATGGTAAAGGAATGTCCCAACAATGATATGACTAAGACAATGATACAGCAGACATTCTACGAGGGTATTAACATAACAAATCAGTGCATAGTGAACCAAATCGCCGGGGGCAATTTCATGAACACACCATTTGATGAGGCTAATGCAATATTGGATAAGATGGCTGACATGTCCTCCGCTTGGAAAAGTAAAGCCAATGTACCACAGGGTAACCCCACGGTCATTCACTTTCACAAAGAGCTCCATGATCATGGGTAGGAAATATCGGAACTGACAACAACAATGAACCAGCTAGCAAAGGCACAATTACAGCAGGTTCAAGCTCCACGACAAGTAAATGCTATGGAGGGTGTCAACATGTTAGTGAACAAAAGAATATAAAGAGGTCAAAAGAACCAAGGGAGTTCAGATCATTATGACCAAGATAGTGGTGGGTTCCAAGATGATGGGTATGATGAGCAGAATGAAGAAGTGCAATATGTCACTACTAGAAATTAGGCCTATGACAACCCTTCCAAAACCATGGCAATAGATACACTAACCGTCCCTATAGGGCTATCAGAACAGATTTGGAGGCGTTCCGAGAAACAGTGTTGCAATAGGTCTATTGGAATGGTTATTTGTAACGGTTCTAATACCGTCTCCGTATAGGGGGTATTGTAACGGTTATGGTACTGTTACCATTGTTCTATCTATGGGAACGGTTGTCTTTTCTATTGGGACGGTTATAAACTGTCGTGGTATAATTATTCTAGCGATTTTTATGTCTATTGCAATGGTTTTTGTGACATTGGAACAATTATCAGTACCCTACTGCAACGGGTATTGTAACATATTGCAAGGTTATTAGGGGATGCTATTATTATCTGCTAGGTCTACTAGAACGGTTATATGGTCTATTGTAACAATTCACAATTGAATTTCTGATATTTATGGAAGCAAAATAAGGAATATTTTCCTATGCAATAAAATGTTTTACCTCATAACTTATATAAACCACGAAATAAAATTAAAATATTTAACTAGCATTACTCATATACAAAAACAAAATGTGAATACATTGTTTGATCAACAATTCAAAAGTCAAAATAGATGAGTTTGCATACAAAAAGTTCTAAACTAAAATATCTTTGAACATGATAATAGAAAGTTTAACAACGATCAACAACACTCAAGTAAAGTCTTCGTCACTGCTTTCTTCCGCAATCGCTGCACCTACAAAAGACAACCAGAAATAATTAAATAAATTTTTTAAAAGATAATTGAATCACAAAGTAATTGAATGACCAATTTGATAACTCCAAAATTTTCTAACGCTCTAAATTCTTGAATTTTTCGGCAGAGTTTCCTTTGTAAATACGACTATCCCAAAATTTTCAACCTGCTCAAAACATCATTTGTAAATAAGACTATTCCATAATTTTTAAACTGCTTAAAACATGATACAATTTCTTTTCAGAACCTAAGATCCTTCCACATATCACAAGTATATGCTAAAAATACTTATTGTGAATCTAAAATGCTTCCACAAATCTCGTTTCATGGGCAAAAAGAATTCTATGTTGTCATAATGCACTTTCAGCCATTAATTGAGTTTAAAATAAGCTGCAATCACCCAAAACAAGAAATATTAAACAGAAAAAGGATAGTGATAGGTTTAGTCCATTGCCCTTCTACTCCCTCTAAAATCTTTGAACAATAGTAAATCAATAAGAATCCAACAACAGTGAATTTTTTTAAGTTAATGACATGTGCCACAACCTTATCAGTGTGTACCATAAAAAGTAATGCAAATACTTGAATATTATTGATCAGCAGAAGAATGTTAGATGATCAGCAGTATATGATTCTGATATCCAGAAACTGAAAAGGCAACAATGATACGGTTTCACTCATATATAACAACATGTATTCCGAAGTTGAACCTCCTTATGAAATTCATAAGCTCTGTATACAAACAACAACCATTGGCCTGGTTCTAATCTTAATTGGTTACTTCTGACTACGATACTTCAAAAAAACTCGAATCTAAAACTATATAGTGAATTTCCTTACAATTAAAATTGATTTTCCAGATCTTCATGCAAAGTAACTGAAATTATAAAAACTAAGAAAAAGGGCTCACAGAGCTAAGAGATGCTATAAATTGAGAAAGAAGTAAATATTTACACGAGTAACCTTAATAACTAACTTCACCACTTATTTCTGTGCCCGGTAATATTTCACTATAATTTTTTAATCAGACTTAGTGTCAAACTATAATTTTTTTTTGCAGCTTAGTCATATAAAGAACTTGTTAGAGAAATGCAACTGGACAACCTTTAACATCAACAAGTTGTCGACTTTTCTCACCATAAGTTCCTAAAAGCAGTATCCATATTGTTTGCTATATTCTGACAATTAAACCAGACCATTTCCTAAAACTGATTTGAATATAGCTGGTTATAGCCCATTTCCTAATGATTTCTAACATTCACATTAGTATCCTAATTATCCCAACTAGACAGAGGACAGATATGATATGCTTCAAGTGTTGCAGATTGAATTATTCAAGATTCATGATATGCTAAGTGTTCAATTCATTCTCAGTCGAATAAGCTAAAGAAAGTAAAGCCTAATGAATACAAATACATAAGAATATGCTTATTATCCCTTACAATATAATATCTAAGTGATTAAAGTCCTAACGACGTGGCATCTAGGTGACATGTGTCTAAATATATTCAAACACTAAATATCATACATATAGAGATATTATTCGAAGTCCTTCAGAAAGGATTCATAAGAGACGTACTTGGTCATTATATACTGATATTTCCTTTTCATGACAATTTGTTTCTTTACTTGTCATATACTAGATTGTTTCTAGCAAATTAAAGGACATCAATAATCTGGCATGTTGGGAAAATAGACGTAAATAGAGTTTTAAACTGAAGATTCAAGTAACAGAAAAGGACTGCATCATCAAGAGACGACGATACATTATTTGCCTTAAATCAGTCTGTCCCTCTCACATTATTTATACAGTGCATATTACATAGTTCTAATTTCACTCAAGTACTAATACTATCGGATTACAGTAGCATCCCTGAAGCAGACAACTAGAAAGCCATTGAAAACATTTACAGTAGCATCCCTGAAGAGCAGACAACTAATCCAAGAAACTATATGAAAGAGAAGTCAACTCCAGCACATTAAACATGACAATTGCATCTCTTGATTTTTCACGATTTTACAATTAAAAAAACCCAGAACTTTTAGCATGTACTGAAAAGAAAAAACAAAGAGTGAACAACAATACAAACCACAACCTTGAAACCATAGCCTAAATTAATTATATCCAACATTTGGTTTTAGAGAAAGAAAGGAGAAAGAAGTGAAAGACACCAGCAATGGCCAAGGAGAAGGAGAAAACTAGAAAGAAGAAGAAGAACTTTAAGAAAAAGTTCAAGAAGATGAAGAAGAACAAGTAAAAAGTCACATACCTGGAGTTTCCCAGAGTTCCAATACCTAAGGAGTTCCTTAAACTGAGAAACTGGAACATCTTCAGGGATATGTTGCATTCGAGTTTCATCATTTGGATAGGGTCAAAGTGATCTTTTTTCAATCTACTCTTGTGCTTTCTCCAGAAGCTTGAACAGATTCCAAAATGTATTTTTTTCCAACTTTGAGAATGTCATATTTATCCTACAATTGGTGTCAAATCTGTTAGTACAGAAAATATGAATGATTTTCAACCAAAAATTAATAATTAAAAGGTCCAGATCTTGGTATATTCCCATATATCCTCTTTTGTGTCCATCTTCCTCCAATCCAAAATATCAAGAGGACATAGAGTCGCATTCCTTTCCAATGTGCCGAGGAAGCTTCCAAGCTCTATCACAACGCCATCACTAGGACCGACGGGTTGATTGAGGTTGTTAAGTAAAATCAATTTACGCTCATGTTGTCCATGTACACTTTTCATCTTTGTTTTACCTCTTTTTTTGTTTGATTAGAAAGGCCTTCAACTATTCAAACCAAAGAAAACCACTAAATCACTATTGTTGTTACATTTTTTATGACTGAAGTAGGATGTGAATATTTTTAGATAAAGTCTATATGTTCTTACCTTGTTCTTCACATTGTTCATCTTCGATAGGAGTTGTAGAATCCAACTGAACTTGTTCCTCTATTACTTTTGTTGCAGGAGTGGTTGATCTTATTTGTGCATGGTCTGCTACTCCTGAATATTGTGGCACTAGCAGATTCTCTTCGATTATATTCAGACACTCTTCCAGCAAGAAATCATGGGCTAGATTTACAGATAGAACTAGCAGCAACAACTAAGCACAACATGTTAATTGTATCTCTCGAAGCTAGATTTACAAAAAGAACTAAGCAATGTTAATTGCTTCTAGAAAGAACAAAAGAACGGTAGCAGCAACAACAACAATAGATCAAAGCAAGAGAGAAAGCGACGTCACCATGGCTGCAGATATAGCTGGGTCGCCTTGCCAAGATACGAGTCAGGTATCTTCTCAATGCCATGACTGAACATAGCCTAGAAAGGAAAGCAATCTTCATAGCCCCTTTACAACATCAGCAGCCTTGTTCTTACTTTTGTCAAGTCCCCTTTTATTGGTTCTTGATTATGAACTTAAACTAAGAGTTTACATTCTGTGAGTTAAGATTAAAGGACATGGACAATGTTGGAAGAGCTGTTTTGCCTAAGTTTATTTTGAAAATTTAAATGTTCATGTTTATGAGGTGTTAAAATCAGTAAAGTGTAATGAGGTAGCTAATTACATACAGAGACAACTAGTTGCGGCATTGGGATTTGAGTGCACTATGAGTGTCTTCACACAGATGAACAAGTTTGTAGAGTGGAAGTTCATGGAAATTAGGCAAATGCAATAGGGCAGACAATAATAACACATAAAACTAACAGATATCGATAACACGAAGAGTCAAGTAGCAATAAATAATAAGAAAGCCCTTAATGTAACACCATGCTCGTATAGTCTGCCGATAGTATAAAACGACAGACCATGTATTTTGGTACTCAAATCCTTCCCGTTATTCAGATAAAAAATTCCAACTGAAAATACCTCAAAAAACCCTAAACAAAGTTTAACTTGTTTTTCGAACTAACTAGATAATTACAGTTTTACAAACTAGAAATCAAAAAATTCCAAGGTTTAGATGAAATCAAAAACTCGAAATCATATAATACAAACAAAGGACATAGTAAATTAATGAGTTTAGATGAAATCTTACCAGAGAAAGAAAGCAGAAGAAGCGGTGAAACAATTTTCCGGTGAAATATTTTTTCGGCGAAATAATAGCGAAAGCGAACAACCACAAATACGGAAAAATACCAATAATATACATCTGAGATTCCCTTATATTAGTCTAAATGGTTGTCTTTCGTCGGAGTAAGCAAAACAGTTCGTCAATGGCGGATAGGTTTGAAGACGAGAGAGACGAAAGCCTTAGAGGACAGTCTTGGCGGATTTGTCTGTTTCTGATGAGAGAAATGAAGGTTTTATGTTTTAAAGCTTAATTAGTAACCCTATAGTATAGTTTATTTTTTTGTGGGATCATAATTTATTTTCACTTTTTTTTTGATAAATATGTTGGAGGGAAATCAGGGAGGGAAAATAAACCGTCCCAATAAATATTTTATTTCAGAAAAGCAACAACAACAACAACAACAACAACGACCCAGTATAATCCCACAAGTGGGGTCTGGGGAGGGTAATATGTACGCAGACCTTACCCCTACCCCGAAGGATAGAGAGGCTGTTTCCAGGTTATTTCAGAAAAGCATTCCTGTAAATATCCCTAGTGTATCGCCTTATTAAACCGTCCTCATAACTTAATTTATGGTGACAATTACTGTCCTATTGGGACAGTATTGCTTCAGAAGTGTACCAAAAGCCTTTTCACTCTATTGGAACGGTTAAAACCGTCCCAAAAAATAATCTATTGTAACAGTTCTGTAACCGTTACCAAATAACTGTTCCAATAGAACCATTTTTTAGTTGTGTGTGAACAATTATCAGGGCCAAGGGGGAAATTCTTCAACCAACAATAATGGAGACCCCAAGGCAATTGGGGAAATCAACAACAACAAAGGAATAGTAATTGGGGGAACAACAACCAAAATGCAAATTGGGGCAACTAGAATAATAATCAGAATAATCAAGGTAATTGGAGTGGCAACAACAACAACTGGGGTGGAAACAACAATCAGGGTGGTTGGAACAATGACAACCAAGGAAATCGGGGGCATGGCTTTCAAAGGCCTCCGATGTATGAACAACCGAAAATCCACCCCCATTTCCTCCCCAAAGTCCTAGTTCATTCAACAATGAAATGGAGAGAATTAAAATGATGTTTGAACAAATGATGAAAAAGAATGCTGACTCTAATGCCCAGTTGGCTTCCTACAATACTTCAATCAGAAACTTAGAGGTTCGATTAGGACAAATCTCACAATACTTGAATACTTTCCCTAAGGGGGCTCTAGCTAGTGATACGGTGGTCAACTCAACGGGTGGAATAATTCTGGTCATGTAATGGTGGTAACTACAAGAAGTGGACGAGGCGATGATGTGAATGCCTCCAAACAAAAAGAAATTTTGAGTGATGAAGTTGAGTTGCAAGAGGATGATATCCCTTTGGTGGTTGAGAATGTGATTGATGAGAACGTGAATGAGGAAGTGAGGATTGATATCCAAGATGTCGAGGTGTAAACTCAGAATGATGTGAATCCGTCTAAGGAACACGTAATAGACATGTCGGAAACGGTTGTGCCTAAAGCCAAGGCCCCTTTGCCAAGGCAGCCTCCACCTTATCTTCAAAGGCTTGCGAAGCAGAAAAATGAGAATTAGTTTAAGAAATTTATTGACATGATAAAGAGCTTATCAATTAATGTGCCGTTAGTGGAGGCTCTAGAACAAATGCCGGGGTATGCTAAGTTCATGAAAGACTTGGTGACAACTAAAAGATCCATGGATTGTGAGACCATCAAGATGACCTATCAAGTTAGCGCAATAGTGCGCTCGATGGCTCCGAAGCTAGAAGATCCCAATGCTTTCACCATTCCTTGCACCATTGGGAGTGCAAACTTTGCAAAAGCTCTATGTGATTTGGGGGCAAGTATCAACTTGATGCCTTATTCTATTTTCAAGACTTTGGGTATTGGGAAACCTAGGGATACTTCAATGAGGTTGCAAATGGTGGATAGAACTATGAAGAGGCCGCTTGGTATTGTAGATGATGTCCTTGTCCGGGTGGAGAAATTTATCTTGCCAGCTGATTTTGTGATCTTGGATTGTGAGGTAGATTATGAGGTTCTGATCATATTGGGAAGACCTTTCCTTGCAACTGGGAAGGCCTTAGTTGATGTGAAAACAGACAAACTCACCTTCCGGGTGGGTGATGAGAAAGTGGTCTTTCATGCGTGCAAGTCAATGAAGCATCCCAACAGTTCTGAAGTCTTCTCTTTTGTGGATCTTGTTACGGCAGTGATAGTTGATGATATTAGTGTAATGATCAATGTGGAGGACCCTCTAGAGGCGATATTGTTGAATCTTGATGTAAATGAGGATGATGGCCGGGTGGAGTGCATCAATGCTTTACATGGAATTGGCTCCTACTCTTATGAGCCTCAGAAACTCTCTTTGGATCTTGAGAATAGGAAGATTCCACCAACAAAGCCCTCAATCGAGGAACCTCCGGTGTTGGAGTTGAAGTCGTTGCCTCCACACCTCAGGTATGAATTCTTAGGCCCTAGTTCAACTTTACCAGTTATTCTTTCCTCTTGTCTTACTAACATGCAGGTAGATGCCACATTGGCGGTGCTCCAAAAACGGAAGAAGGCAATTGGATGGACCTTAGCTAATATTCAGGGGATCAGCCCCGCCTTTTGTATGCACAAGATTATTCTTAAAGATGATGCATTTCCCTCCTTATAACATCAAAGGAGGTTGAACAAGGCAATGCAAAAAGTTGTGAAAAAGGAGGTGATCAAGTGGTTGGATGTCGGGGTTGTGTAACCCATCTTTGATAGCTCTTGGACTTCGCCGATGCAATGTGTGTCGAAGAAGGGTGGTATGACTGTGGTTACCAATGCGCAAAATAAGTTGATTACTACCAGAACTGTTACCGGGTGGAGGGTGTGCATGGATTACCGCAAGTTGAATAAAGTGACCCGCAAGGATCACTTTCCATTGCCTTTTCTTGATCAGATGTTAGACAGACTTGATGGGCATGCCTTCTACTATTCCTTGGATAGGTATTCTGGGTACAACCAAATTTTGATTGCTCCGGAAGATCAGGAGAAGACCACCTTCACTTGTCCGTATGGTACCTTTGCCTTTTCTAGGATGCCATTTGGGTTGTGTAATACACCGGCTACATTCCAGCAGTGTATGATGGCCATATTTACCAACATAGTGGAGGACATTTTGGAGGTGTTTATGGACAACTTCAGTATTGTGGGTGACTCGTTTGATGAATGTTTGAAAAATCTTGATAGAGTATTGGCCCGTTGTGAAGAAACCAACCTTGTGCTTAATTGGGAGAAATGCCACTTCATGGTTAAGGAGGGCATAGTCCTTGACCATAAAATTTCAAAGCACGGTATAGAGGTGGACAAAGCTAAAATTGAAGTGATTTCAAGGCTCCCTCCCCTACTTCAGTCAAGGGAGTTAGAAGTTTTCTTGGGCATGCGGGTTCTACCGGAGATTTATTAAGGATTTTTCGAAGGTAGTGAATCCCTTGTGCAAGTTATTGGAAAAAGATGCCAAGTTCATGTTAAATGAGGGATGTATGCAAGCCTTCGAACTTATCAAGCATAAGTTGACCACTCCTATTATTACCGCACCCAATTGGAGCTTTCCTTTCGAGCTTATGTGTGAGCGAGTGATGTTGCGGTAGGGGCGGTCTTGGGTCAAAGAGTGAATAAAATATTTCATCCGGTGTATTATGCGAGCAAGATAATGAATGATTCTCAAGGGAATTACACGGTGACTGAAAGAGTTGTTGGCTATTGTGTTTGCAATGGAGAAATTTTGGCCGTATCTCATGGGTGCCAAGGTCATAGTTCATACCAATCATGCCGCACTCCAGTACTTGATGACAAAGAAGGATTCCAAAGCTAGGCTGATGCGATGGGTCTTGTTACTTCAAGAGTTTGATTTGGAGATTGTGGACCGGAAGGGTTGTGAAAACCAAGTGGCGGACCACTTGTCCCGCTTGGAGAAGGAGGGGAGGCCTCATGATGGCCTAGAGATCAATGATTCATTTTCCGATGAGCAACTCCTTTCTATGTCGGTGAATGGTATGCTTTGCGGATGTTGCTAATTTTCTTATGACTGGTATAATCCCATGTGAGCTCTCTTCTAACCAAAGGAACAAGCTTAAACGGGATAGTTTGGACTTCTATTGGGATGATCCGTACTTGATTAAGATCTGCACTGACGGTGTGATCCAGAGGTGTGTCCTAAAGGAGTAGCAATTGAGTATCTTAGAGGCTTGTCATTTCTCTCCCTATGGTGGTCATCATAGTGGGGTGAGGACCACTTCGAATGTTCTTAGTTATGGGTTTTACTTGCCAACTTTGTATAAAGATGCAAGTGAACTTGTGAAGGGATGCGACGAATGTCAAAAAGTGGGTGGAATTTCGAAGAAAGATGAGATGCCTCTCAATACTATTCTCGAAGCTGATATTTTTGATGTGTGGGGCATTGATTTCATGGGCCCATTTGTTAGTTCGTGCGGGAACACATACATTCTAGTGGCGGTTGACTATGTCTCAAAGTGGGTTGAAGCCGTTGCTTTATCCAATAATGAGGCCCAGAGTGTTGTTGCATTTCTCACGAAGAGCATTTTTACTAGGTTTGGCACTCCTCGAGCAATCATAAGTGATGGGGGTCTTATTTTTGCAATAGAGCTTTTGACACTTTGCTTGTAAAGTATGGTGTCAATCACAAAGTTTCTACCCCTTATCATCCTCAGGCAAGTGGCCAAGTTGAAGTCTCAAACAAGGAAATCAAGAATATATTGTCAAAGACGGTCAATGAAAGTAGGACCAATTAGTCAAATAAATTGGATGATGCTCTATGAGCTTATAGGACTACTTACAAGACTCCGATTGGTATGTCTCCATACGGGTTGGTGTTTAGGAAAGCTTGCCATCTATAGGTTGAGTTAGAGCACAAGGCCATGTGGGTTTTGAGAAAGCTGAATCTTGAATGGGATATGGCAGCAAATCTTCGTGTGGAGCAGCTTAATGAACTTGATGAATTTCAATTCCATGCCTACTCTAGTTCGTCCTTGTATAAGGACAAGATGAAGTACATTCATGATAAGTATTCTCGTGGCAAGGAGTTCAAGGGGGGTGATTTGGTTCTCTTGTACAATTCTCGGTTACATCTGTTTCCGGGAAAGCTTTAATCGAAATGGAGTGGACCTTTTGAAGTGGTGCTTGTGACTCCGTTTGGTGCACTTGACTTGAAAAACAAA